TGCATTCAATAGTTGCATTTATTTTATCCCCAGGAGATAGAGATAGGAGGTTCTGATTATCATTTGGCTCTAGATTATAATGAAATGTTCGATTTTCGCTAGATACGCAAGAGAGTTTAATATTTTTATTTTCATTGTTAAAATTACATCTATTTAAATGTTTTAAACGCCTATTATTTTGCCTTTTAACTTTATAAAGTAATGCCAAATACAGTAAATAACTAAACATAAAAAGAAAACAATGAAAAAAGTGCAACTAGCCCAAAAGTATGTCATGAGACGTGTCGTGATCAAGTTTCGCACCTTGACCGTGAACCATTTGAATTACCTATACTAGTTTCATTTACTAAATTATTTTTTTTTTTGCTAAAAATTGTCGTATAACGATTTCGAGTAAATACATTTACTTAAAGACTGAGATTATACCTATTATAAATACGTTTGAAATTACGATTTTTTTTTTTAATTATATATACTTCTGTCACATAAAATTACTGTGTCAGCTAATGGTATATATAGAAATTAGAAATATATCACTCGATTTTACCTATTTTATATATTGAAATCTAAAAAAAATTTTGTGTATGTTCAGACTTTTGACTAGATAATTAGAACGAAAATGTAAACTTAAATTCTACTTTTATCGGTTTTCCTTTTTCGGGTACCTATTCTTCGCATTTTACATTTAATTTTGACTGTAAAATTTGACTATCTACAGCAATTCCAGGGAGGGTGGCTAGGGTGGATAATAATATCCTTTGCCATCATGACGTTTCGCTTCCTAGATATTATCTTTGTCCTATGTCTTCTTCTCGATGTATGCTCTTTCCATGGCATTGTATTATCTGTTTCAGGTTTATATTCTAAAACCTTTCGCTTTCTTGTAAATGGTAGTTCTTCATTTATGTTTTCTGACTCAATTATCGATTGAGGTTCAGGAAACTGTCTTTTTCTTCTTCTTCCAGGAATATTGTCAGAGGAAATAAATCTATTTTTTGCCTTATCTCTACTTAATATAGGCAAACTTGAGGAATTGCATTCTACTTCTAAGAGCTCATTCTGAATATTTTCTATTTTCGTACATTCTATTTTGCTAGGGAGGGTATTATCCCCATCCTCTACCTGCAAATATTCTCCAGCAACAGGGAGGGTATTATAGTCTTCCTCTGCCTGTGCATATTTCAACGCTACAGGGAGGGTATTATCATCTTCCTCTGCCTGCGCATTTTCTAAAGTGAGGAAATCCAACGTTTCCTCTTTATAGTCATTTACAAAATCATCCTCTTTTTTAAAAATATCCTCTTTTGACATCATTAAAATATTTTCCTCCTGGTTACTATACATTTCGTATGGGAGAGTATCCTGATTATCACAACATATATTATTTGACGACCTAGTTGATTGTGAAAAATTACTGTACTTAGATTGACCTGCATTGTTTATTCTATCTGACCATAATTATTATTATTATTATTATTTATAAAACTAGTTCTGCCCTTTAAGTTCGAATCTAAATGATTAGTAAAATATTCGTATTGAAAATCATAGCGCCTCTGACTGATATTTGAATTTACTTGCTGTGATTGTCTTTTATTTATGTTAGAATTTTGAGAATGATAAGAATTTCTGGAATATGCTGATGTTTTGGATTCTAATAATATATCTTTTAAATCGCTTATTTTATAGATTATATTTTTCAAACTCTGGAAATTCATATTTTCAGTAAGCAGAAGATAATAATGATAATCATACGATTCATGTAAACCATATTCGAATTGATCTTTAAATATTTCAAAATTTATTTTACCATAGATTTCATGTGCAATTGATAGTAAATCGTAATAATAAGATTTTATATCTTCATTTTTTCCCTGTTTCCGTGTACGGAATTTAGATTTTAGTTTGCGTAGTGATATTTCACTTCCAAACTCTAAAATAAAATCTTTTTTGATATCGCTCCAGACTTTATTAAAATTATTTTTGTCATAACATATTCCTTATACCAATAAAAGCAGCGTTTTCTAAGTAACATTCTAAATATTTTATCTTAAAAGCATAATTCCAGCCATTCTTACTAGTTATTTTATCATATTCTCGAATAAAAGAAATTGGGCAGTCGATTGTAGGGTCAAAAGTAGGTGGCGGTATAAATTCCGGTAGAACAGGTGCTTTTACAAAAGACATTAAAATATATTTAAAAAAATCAATTTAAATAATAATAAAATAAATAAATTCTAAACTATCATTAAAATAATTATCGCTCAGTATATCATGTAATGAAATACATTTTTCAACACACACAGACGTACAATGCAGTTCTAACTAAGTCAGCAGTATTTGTAACACGAATTAAATAAATATGGTCGCTTCCTTCAACACTCATATTTCAAAATATTCCTAACAAGAATAATATTTTCTAGGTCAGTGTCATCCTTGATAATGATATTCAACCAACAGGTTAAATTCTACAGTTTAAATAACTGAAATAATAAAATTCTCATTTAAAAATTATATTTATCATTATATATTTATCATGGCAACACTAAAAATAATTTAAAATATACTGTCTATCAATATACTGGATGTCGTTTTATGTGTCCTTATAGAATAAAAATAAATAAATTATTCTCAATAATAAAAATTCTCAACATTCACAAAAATTATTACCATATGCAGTGATAAAAGAAAAATTAAACAATAAGGATTCGACAGCATTTTCTCTCTAAATAGTGTAAAAAATACTGGATATTTAATAAAAAAAATGTTCCTACACATTGAATTTATAAATGGTAAAAAATAAGTAAAACAAAACTAATATAAGAGATTCCTAAGTCTTAATATAAATTTTGCCATCTCCAATTATTATTAATACAATAAATTAAAATAAATAAAATAGTCCGTCCTACTAAATAATCAAGCATTTTTAATATATAATTATTTAAGTCGGTAAATGTAAAGTAAAAGTATGTAAGCTTGTTCGTTGCTATCGAAGTATTAAAAAAAATCGTATATGATGTATTTTAATTATTTGTATTTTCGCCATGTTTTAAATATATAAAGTAAAATGAATAAATGAACTTAGATTCCGAGAGACAAACTTAGAGAAAAAAAAACATATCTACTAACTACCGTAAAATGTTGGAATTATGAATTGGCATGCACATTATTCGTAAATTAATGAATAATTATAAAATAAAAATCGCCTCCATCACATACGGAGATGTGTAAGAAATTGTTACTTAATAAAAACCGGCGCCTCCACCACATATGTCACACCCCATTTTGTGGGTTATGACTAGGGGCATAGCAAATAATAAATACTTCAATTTAACTTAATAATCAATTTAATTAATCTACGAATAATAAAATAATTATAAAACTAAATGTGTACTTACATATTATATTTATGGACGAACATCATCACTGGCTCGGGGGTAGTGTCAGGGTAGTGTAACGCCAATGCCGGAATCTCGACCGCGACCTTATCGAACTTACTATCGACTATCGACTGTCGACTGTCGACTGTCGACTGTGGACTGTCCCCCCAACAGGTGACATTTTTGTATTTATTGGTTCGTTACGTCGAATCATCGAATCAGCATTATTGGTCTATCGGTGCGATGACCGGTGCGATGACCGCGTTAGTGCTGATTTGATGATTTTACAAATTCGTAGTATTGAAAGGAAATATTTTCGCAATTGCCAATTATGCTTATAACTTTGATTTTTAAAACTTTACTTTTGTTGCGTAAATGCCAATGAACTTTAATTATTTTATACTTCCTTTCAATCGAATTATTAATTTACGAAATATATTAATATTAAATATGTTATTTTATATATCGAATAATTCCATCCTTGACAATATTTTTCAAAAATATTTTTGAATATTTAGATAGAGTAGGATCACATTAGTCTAAAAATGCAAAAATCTCAAAATTGAAAAAAATTCACTTGCCGCCTTTTAACTGCCGACTGCAGTGAATATGTCGACACTTTTTAGCATTAAAATATGTCGCACTCAGAGCTGCAAGCTCACAGAAAACTTAAGTCTTCTTTTGATTTAAATCATTTTAATGACTTAAGTCCTTTGATTTTAAGTCATTAGAGTTAAGACTTAAAATTTAAGTCTTTTTCAAAATGACTTGTGATTTAAATTTTTATTCGAAAATAGAAAAAGATTTAAGTCTTTTTAGAAAAGAGCAATGAAATAAAATATTAATTCTTCTAAGCCGGTTTTAATTATTTATCGTGTTACACGTGCGTAGTGAGTCTGTTGTCTTTCAAGTGAATCCCCGACACCACGTAGCCCGAAAGACGAACAAAAGAAATTTATTTCAAATATATTGAAGAGTATCTTAAAAGCCTCCAGCCCTTAGCTTATGCCATCGACATATTATATAGTGATCAAACCACATCACCGCTTTTTAATAGACATGAATTTGATGACATCTAAACTGTGATGGTAATAAGTACTACAAAATCGATTAAATTTTATAACAAAAACAAGTTTTTGTGTTTGTAATTATTTTATATGGTTTAAGTAATTTTGCCCACTTAACTCTAAAATTATAATGATTTAAATAAAAAATATAGACTTAAGTAATTATTGAATTAAATTTCATTATATTGATTTAAGCTTTTAAGAAAATGACTTGACTTGAAATAAAATGATTTAAGTCAAAGACTTAAGACTTAAATCATTTTGATTTTAAAATATGACTTAAAACTTAAGACTTAAGTTTATTTAAAACTGACTTGTTGCAGCTCTGGTCGCACTTACAGTGACTTTAGCAAGTACTATAAGTCCTTAATAAATTTAATATATAGGGTGGTCCATCGAAATCGTTCCGCAAGGCATAACGGCCAGGGTAATTTTTTTTTTAGAAAATTCAAAAACACGTCAATTTTATTTGTGAGGGGGACAACTTTTGCCCCAAAAATGTCTAAAATCGCTATTTTTGGGGCTTACTCAACCGTGTCTCACAATGCAAATTCACCTGAAATATCCCTTTAGTTGGTCATTGGCAGGCACTCTCTCATTGTACATGAAAATAATAAAACAAACATTTACTGATCCGGATAAAATTGATAGTTAAATAGTAAGACTCACCCGGAGTACTCCGCCCCCTAGCCACTGACATCACTGACATTCTATTCAATATATCCCATTCCATATCTTCCATCTAATTCAAATATTATTGGGATCTATTGGTTAAAAATCTTCAACAACTAGCTAGTGTCACCTGAAATAGTATAGGGGCTTCCCCCGGACGCAATTCTGCCGCTAAACAGATTCGCATCCCAATCGAATAAGCTAATTGGGTAGCTCACTATCCCAACGCCGCATCGTCAATCGAGAAGACATTATGGAGACCTCAAACTCTCAAGACCAACTCGAAAGCAGGACGTCACAAGAGGTTTTCTTCCTGTGGTCAAACGACCCCGTTGGCTTACAGTCAAACGACTTGCAACTATGTTAGTCAAAAGACTCGTATCCAAATAGTCAATAAGACTCGTATCCTAATAGTCAATAAGACTCGTATCGAAATAGTCAATAAGACTCGTATCCTAATAGTCAATAAGACTCGTATCCTAATAGTCAATAAGACTCGTATCCAAATAGTCAATAAGACTCGTAACCTCCAAATGTCAACTCTGTGACAAAACACAACACAACACTACTACACAGCTGGCCGGCACGTGTACCACTGACTGACCTGCCGCGCGCCGGCAAGCTAAGTCTCCTCTTACATCACAATTTTACCTGATCACAAATATTTACATCGCTTGCCAATGAATCATACTATTTTCTCTAATCGACTTTCAAATAGAGTGTTTCAGCATTACTAGATAAATAAAAAATAGAGAGTTTCCGAAGGAATACATATTGTTTATTAGAATAGTGAATAAATAAAAGCATTATTATGACGAACTTATTTTCCAAGTTTTACAAATGATTGCAAAATCTTCAACCCTCTAAGAAGGGGTGTCACCCCCAACTTTTTTCAAATGGGAAGGGGGGTCAAGTGGTACCGCAATGAAAAGGGCTTTTTATTCTCTATACTTTCCCGCTTCGTTTGAGAAAATTTCCATTTTTTTTCCATTGAGAAAATATGAAGGATTGAAATTTGAAAAGTTTATTTAAACATTTATCAGAGTAAATGACAAGGATACATTCCTTCGACCAGTTTGCTGTTTTTTCTTATTATTTCTAGATGTTTACGCATTTTTTCACTTGCCACAAGGTTGAACGATCAGGTGCGGCAGTTGCTAGATAGCTGTTCCGTGACTTGTGCGTTGAAGTTCTTCTCAATATATTTTTAACAATTATAGTGTACTCACTTGCAGAAAAAGTGGAAATAATCGAACTTTATTTTAAAAATAATGAATGTAGCAATCGGGTCCCGCAGATATTCAATGAATGCCATCCTGAAAAACACCTTTATGGCAAAATTGTTCGCGAGTTAGTAGCAAAATTTCGCGAAACTGGTTCCGTTATGAATAAAAAGAGGCAGAGGGAAAACCCTGTAGTAAATGAAGCTATGGAGGTATTCGTATTGGGCCAAGTTGCCATGGATAGTACGCTGAGTACAAGAAAATTAGCCAATGCAAAATTAGCTGGCGTGAATCGTACCAGTGTCCAAAGGATATTAAAAAACACAAGTTCCACCCGTACAAAATTCAGTTGGTACAAGAACTCAACGAAGACGATTTTGATCGTCGCTTGCAATTTTGTGCAACTGTGAGTAAACGAGTGGCGAATGATAATAATTTCCTATTTAATGTGTGTTTTTCGAATGAGTGTACTTTCTTTTTGAACGGTGTAGTTAATCGGCATAACTGTCGATACTGGGCTGAGGGGTTTTTTACGAGGTGCACACACAAAACCCTCAGAAATTGAACGTGTGGGCTGGTATTTTTGGAAATTCTATTTTAGGTCAGTTTAACGATATTGAGAAGAACTTCAACGCACAAGTCACAGAACAGCTATCTAGCAACTGCCGCAACTGATCGCTCAACCTTGTGGCAAGTGAAAAAATGCGTAAACATCTAGAAATAATAAGAAAAGACAGCAAATTGGTCGAAGGAATTTATCCTTATCATTTACTCTGATAAATGTTTAAATAAACTTTTCAAATTTCAATCCTTCATATTTTCTCAATGACTCGACCGATTTTCAAAAACGAAGCGGGAAAGTATAGAGAATAAAAGGCCCTTTTCATTGCGGTACCACTTGACCCCCCTTCCCATTTGAAAAAAGTTGGAGGATGACACCCCCGCTTAGAGGGCTGAAGATTTTGCAATCATTTTTGGGGCAAAAGTTGTCCCCCTCACAAACAAAATTAACGCGTTTTTGGATTTTTTGAAAAAAAAAATATCCTTGTCGTTATGCCTTGCGTAACGTTTTCGATGGGCCACCCTGTATGTATGTTGTAATTGTATTATAATAAGTTTTAATTATTAAGTTATAAATAATAATAGCAGAATGGGACCTATGTTGATATGAAAAATAAATCTTATTTTTACGTGAGGAATCTCCCCACGAGAGATGGCACATATTTTTTGAATCTCCCTATATAAGTAAGGCTTTAACTTATCGTATGATTTTACTACTCCAATATTTTTTATACCCAAGCAGAAAGCCCAATGATCAAAAACTTTAACTTTCTGACGTAAAATATGAACGCGCCGATTAGTATTAATTTTTAATAATTTATTTTATACCAATATTAATGTTTATAGAGAAATTTTAATCACTGGTTTTTTATATTTGCACAGTTTGAAATCGCCAAAAGTAATTGTTAATTTTAATGATTCTGTTTATGAGTTCTTCTTCACGTCACATGAAATTTAGTATACATTGCGTATTAGCATTGATGTAAAACATGATTTTGGGAGAAAAAATATATTAACTTTTGATTCAAAATCATGATTTGCCTTAGAGGTGAATTGTCACTATATTTTCTGTAATTAAATTGTGTTTGATGTTATTATAAAATAATTATTGTCAGTTTAATAATATTTAAATATTAATTAGTATGCTTATGTAGTTCATAACAAGAACGAAGATAAGATTTTTTCAGAAAATTGTCATTTCACAATTTTTGAATTCAATTCTTTCTGGAATCTAAATTTAGACTTTGGTTTGACGTCAACTCCTTTTAACTTATTACTTAATAATTATTAATTATCTGTAGCGTTTTGTAGTTTTTTTATTATTATTTAGTAAATAGTCTTCAAGTTTTAACTAACCTCCTTGGTTTTCTCTATTACGAAGTTTTACAAAATTAAAAACTAAAAAATAAATTACAGATATACAGGGTAGGCCAAATTGGACGCTTTTAAAGGGAAACACCCTTTTCTATAAGAGATAGACAAAAACTAATATTGGTATCTGGAGGTCAATTTTTGTCAAAAACATGATGGTGAAAACCGCACATCGATATCTATTACCGTTTCGGAGTTATGGGGTGTTTTTCAAAAATATGCATTTTTAACAAATCGCTGTAACTTTTTTGTTATGGAAAATTTATTATTTTTATGAAAATATTTCCAAAGCATCTTTTTACAAAATTTTTTTAAAATTAATAATTTAAGAATTATCAACAGAAAATTTGATTTTTTAAATGGGACACCCTGTATATTTTTAACTTATTGAAAATAATTTAAAATTACCTTTCCAAAAATATAGCACAATTGATATTTTGCTCGATTGCTCTTCGAGATATAGAGTTTATTAAAATTCGCTCACTTTGAATAAGTAGGCTTTGAACGGCGCCGGCTGTAATGCAAAAAAAATCTAGCGGTGAGCAGCAATTAAAACGAAAATAATATTTGCAATGAGAGATGCAGAATTTTATAATAATTTAAACTATATTTTACCAACATCTATACATTTAAACTATATCTAATAATAATAATAAAAATAAATAGCAAACCGAGACATGTGATTTTGCTACAGATGTGTTCGACATCGACCGTCTTCTGTTATGGACAGACCGGGCCGTTATTGAATATTTTTCGCGGAATTCATTAACTCAGTAGGGGTGAAAGATACCCTCGCATAACCGCTAAGTTTTTCTAATTTTTATCTAGAACCTTTATTCTTCCGCAAAGATATCCATAGGATTAGATCCATAAGCACTAAGTCAAAGATACCCTCTCATAACTGCTAAGTATTTCTAATTCTTGTCTAGATTATACCGAAGAATAAGGAACCTTTATTCTTCCGCAATATATCCATAGGATTAGATCCATGGGCACTAAGTCAGGGGGCCTCGACGGCCAACGGCTGGGATCTTGGTTAGCTATTCAATTATTCTCGAAATTTGCTGCAAAAATTTGCTGATAACTTCAGCGTTCTGAGGCGGTGCCTCATCTTGCTGGAAAAATATGTTTTCGAGTTCCATTAGGGGCAGATCATCAGTAAGGGATCCAAAGCCTACTAGTTAAGAGTGGCAAACTTTTAAAAATTCTGTATTTCGAAGGGGATTATAACAAAATATCCAGTGTGCTATATTTTTGGAAAGGTAATTTTAAGTTCTTTTCATTTAATTAAAAATATACAGGGTGTCCCCTATAAAAAGTCAATTTTTCTGTTGATAACTCTTAAATTATTAATTTTAAAAAAGTTGTACTTAAACCATTAAATTCTACGTAAAAAGTGCCTTGCAAATGTTTTTATAGAAATACAAAATTTTTCATAGCAAAAAAGATACAACATTTGTTAAAAATGCACATTTTTGAAAAACACCCCGTAACTCCGAAACGGTAACAGATATCGATGTGCGGTTTTCACCATCATGTTTTTGATAAAAATTGAGCTCCAGATACCGATATTAGTTTTTATCTATATCCTATAGAAAAGGGTGTTTCCTTTTAAAAGCGTCCAATTTGAGCCACCCTGTACAGGGTGTCCCAGGCTGAGCGTGCATTAGGAGTTTCTAGAGAACAGCAATATCTAGATCGGAGATTTTTTGCACATCATTGTTTCACAACGAGATCTATCGACCATAAATACTTTCAATATGGGGACACTTCCGG